TATTAATTTAAATCTGAATCAAGCCATGGTTAACTAAATCCTAGTTAAAATTATATTTAGATTTTTTGATTTGTTAAAAAATCTGCTTTTCACTATATTGAAGTACAAGCCATAGATCCCTTAGAACATTTTAAATTTTCAGTAAATTCTTGTGGTTTTTGTCTAGTCTAGTGTTGTGTGTGAGATGATGATTGTATATTATGTGTTCATAATTTTTCTACTTTCTTATTACATCAATTGGTATAAAAGGAATATTCTTTGAAGTTATATATCCTTAATTTATTTCTGCTTTTAAAGGTGTTGGTGTGCTAGGGTTCATAGCGTCTCTAGCTAAGTAGCATCTTGAAAAAAAAATGTTCAACATTAGCAACAAGATCAAAGAGAACACGAGGTAGAGAGTAAGAAATAATTGAAATTAGTATTAGTCATGAATAATTATCAATAATTTGTAATCTAAGCTTGCAACTAATGTATTTCTTCTATATTGAATATCTATAGTCAGAATGAGTACTGATCTTGATTTGATTTGCCAAAGCACTATACATCAAACTACAAGGACAATGAAAAAATGATTCATGGTTGATTCTAGCGATCATAATTCTAGCACAAAGATCCAAGATCACAATGATGAGTTTAGTGATCTTGTCAATAATTTTCAGAATTTTGAAGATAAATGATAAGAGAAAAATCTTTAATCTCTTGAATTCATCACTTGCATCTTTTCAATCATTATCATGTGTTTTGCTTCCTTGTGATAGATAGATAATCACTCACAACAAAGTTCTTAGTGATTTGTTGACTACTGATTTACAACAGTATTTGATTCTGCCATAAAAGCACATGATTTTCACAAAGTGTATTTGATTCATATGTGAACATCATGAAGATTTGTTGACTTGTGACTTACAACAGAAGTTGATTATGCCATGAGAGCACAAGATTTTTCACAAAGTGTATTTGATCCATATCTGAACATTATGAAGATGGATAGTGAGATTTTTAATCTTGTTGTTCAATCTGAATCACATGTTTTTCTTGTTTTAGAATCAATCAAACATTGATAAATGCAAGAATCAACTCATATTCAGAAATATTGGAATTGTATGTTCATAAGGATTTAAAGTAGAAAAATTATGATAAATTGAAGATAAGAATAGTAAACATTTGCTTGACATTTTTCACATGGAAAAATATTGTAAAGTATGAATTTTTTTTGATAGCACACTTCAAGTTTTTTCCAGATCAATGTCCAATCGATGCCATTAAAAAGTGAAAAATATCATCATATTGTCATGAAAAAATAGTCAATAGTCTTTTATATTTAATGATATCCATTAAATTTCATATTGCTAGATCCAATTGTTGAGTATATATATGTCAAATCCAAATAAGTTACATTGAGAAGTTGTAAATTGAATTTTAAAGAATTGAAAAGTACAAAAATATTGATATATTGTTTGATAATTTATCAGACAATGTTAAATTCTTGCTAAACTACATTGATTTTTATTATGGATTAGGTTTAAATAAATTTAAATCTACAATTAGATTAACATTTGATGATGAACGTATAAGTTGGATATTCATTTTTTTTATTACAAAACTCAATCAACAATACATGTTGAATATATAAAATAAATCAAATAAATAAATAATTTAGTTATATATATTTTTGATTAAGATGATATTGGAAAAACGATGTTTCCAATTTTTATTCAATGTCAACCCTACCATTACCTAAACATATTTTGACAACATTTAAACTCAATTCTAAAAATATTGTTACAAAGCGAGTAGATTATAAAGATGTGAAGAACTGCCTCTGTACTGTATTGCCTTCAATGTAAAATATGTGATTTCTTTGGTACATAGTAGAACTTTCGCATAAGATACTGTAGAGCTTTAGATCTCAGTTCTTCTTCTATTTCCTTAAGAAGCAGGTCGTGATGAACGTATAAGGAGAGTTAATCGAAGCTTTTAATGAAACTTTTGGGATAATTTTAAATCAAGTTTGAGGTATTTACACGGACATAGCCCACAATGATGAATCATGTAATTCTCAGCGTGAATGTGCGTGTGTATTAAGTTCTCATGTTATGCTCTTGATGTATGTGTGCGTATTGTGTAGTTTAGATATTCCTGGTACATATTGCTTGAATAAAAAATATTTCACAGATGAATTTACTAATTTTTTTAATAAAGCTTAATAATGAATTTTTTATTTCATATATATATGGAAGAGTGAAACTTAAGATAATTATTAATGATATATATATATATATTATAAAAAAGTATTCATAAAAAATATATATCTAAAAATTGAACAACGTGTCATGAGAGCACTGTCTCTTTCAAGTTACAAAATGATGTTTTGATCATTTCAAATATAAATAAATGACGTAGATAATTCATGGATTATGAATTCACAATGAGATATTTCTGCTGATAAGCTCTTCTCATCAAATCCTGTTAGGTTTCATCCATGCAATGCACTATGGGATCTTTCCATGTATTTCTTTATATAATTTGGTACTTCACTTATGCTTTCTATTGCTTCTTTGGTTGCCAACATCAATTCTTCTCACTCTACTTGTACTACGACAAGCGTAAATATAGGTTTCACCAGTAGAGTTTGAATCGTCTTCTCAGTGTTCACGGGTTGAGCACTCCAAAGGTTTTTGCTGACTGTAGCTCTGTCCATTTCACCAGCCGTACCTTTCCCCTGTGCACCTAAAACTACTCAAACTCATCTATATGGCAAGTTTTTGCGTCACTCTAGCAGACTGCCAGCTCATTCAACAAGGCCGCAGCACTTACAACCATGCGATGTGCAACAGTGGTCGATTATGATACAGCATGTGGACAAACGCAAACTAAAAGCATAAGAGGAATGGCTTGAATAAGTAAATGTCATATTTTCCTGTAGAATAAAGAAGTGCAGGTGAATAATGTATTAAACTGGGTGGAGACAAGCGATTAAAAGACACGTCTTGTTTGGTCGTGAAGTGTGAACTGATAACCGGCCGGTCAAGTAAGACACACCTTTTACCTCCATGGCATCAGATGTCATTGAGGTCAGCACCTCTTGTAGCTTTTCAGTCGTGCCAATTCTACATGGGGCCGGTTTTCATAATCTGGATATGTGTATCTTAAACATAATGTAGACAACATTGCAATTCTGACTTGGATGGTTTAACCTCACCATTTGTGAGGTTAAATCCATGTTACAGATGATCATGGAGCGTGAATAGCTTATGTACCCTTGGAGTGCACTATCAACATTTTATCAACTTGTTAGATTGCTTTTAAGCTTGCATTAAACTCAACTAGTTTACAATAAACAGTGGATAGGGTTGTCAACTAGTTCATGCTAAATCCGAACCTTATTGTCTTTTACAATTCGTAAACAAGTGACAACAAAATATATGTATATTACAATGTATTATTACTAGAATGATCAGTTTTTCCTTACTCCTTACTTCGGATGAGGTTTTTCATCTTTTCTCTTATAAGAATGATGGCTTTGTCCATCATTCTTATATTCTTTGAGAGGCATCCGCATTGTATATGACCATGAAAAATAATCAAAAACTTCACCGTGACCAACGTAACATACTACTGTTCCAGGACCACAGCTGGAAAACATTCTGACACTCGTGATGTAGAGACGTCAAGCCTTTATTCTGCAGTCGCCAAATATGAAATTTAGAAGGAAGCCTTCCCCTAAAAGGACCGCGAAGATTGTTTGTTTCTGTACTGCTGTCCTCAACAATACAAGCACGATATGCTCGCGACCTAATTCGACCTAATGACATTCTTCTCATGCAAAAGCACGAGAAGAATGTCAATCGCAAATCGTGCATTTGGTATGTTAGGGACAGATAGCTAGATGGACAACTGCCACTCTGAAAAAACTTGCTACTTTAACGATGGCAGTCGTTTGCATGTGCGTTCACATTCTGGGAACTATCTACGGCCGTGTTTCAGGTGCAATCGAAACTCTATCTTTGCAAAGGTGGAGGCGTTATGTCAATGCGAAACTTTTCGCAATAGTGTCCTGACTTCCGATGTCGGTGGATCGATAGGTGCTTTCTGAGTCAAAGTCGTGCGTCCTCGCCAAACGACGTTCTGGGTCGAGGCCGAGTCCCGGCCGACTGGGGGTAATCACACCCCCAACAAACAAAGGCCCAACGAAGCCCGTAATTGGGTTAACAAGATAAGGGAAGATTCTGTAACTAACTCCACGACGAAATTGTTGTAACCACCGGTTTCCTAGGCGTTGTCCGCAAGCAGAGCCGGTGGCAAACTCGCTGCCGTTCGACATTTAAGGCCAAGTCTTCGTATTCAGGCGCCGGGGATCTGGTACGGAGGAGGTCCGATGTGCAGATACGGAGTCCTGAAAGTCGTCTACAGAAGAAAATCCGAGCCAAAGTCGCCGATTCTTGGAAGTCAGAGTACCGTCAGTGTCCTGTAGTGAGATGCCCCTCGTAGCGCTGAATCTTCCGGTACGCGAATACGGAAATCAATAAGGGTACGTCAACCTCATCGACAGCAGCCTTCTATAATGTCCAGAGCTTGTCAGTGAAAGTAAGGTTTATACTAGAGTGCACCTACCCCCTGTGCAACAAATGTAAGCTTAAGAAGGAATGGGCCCGGGGAGGTACAGCCGGCTCCGGCAGCCCATGGCTGCTGCACCACACAGCAATCCCTCGCATGCTTGCGGGCAGGGGTCGAGATCGGGCTGGAGGTGGAGGTGGGGGCCCCACTAGCGGCAGCAGCTGTTACAGCCGATACTTTTCAGGCCGCCGCTGCAATGACATTACAGTGGCCGTATCACAAGCACATGTCTGGAACTCAAGCCGTATAGGACTTTATAGTGCTGTTAATGAGAGCGGGAGAAGGCATTCGAGAGTCGAGAGTCGGGAGTCGGAACTGGTGGGTAGGTTGGAAGGCCATTGGAAGGGGAGCTGTAAGCGACAACGCAACGCTGAGTGGGGAGGTTTTGTTGGGCAAGATATAAAACGAAAAAACTTCTGACACCCGGTAACAGATGGGCCGGGAAAGTATTCGTAGATGTACTGTCTGATTGTAGGTTGTCGACTCTGCTGGGGAGCTACATTTGTACATTTCCGGCTGTGCTGGTGGCCATGGCCGTATTATAGCTAGTTGATACCGCGATGTACCAAATTACTCAAGAAGGATGATGATGTCACTTGTTTTATATTGTAGTTAGTGCGGAAGAATGTGTGTGAAGAGAAGGGGCAGCTGTGTTGATGAAGCTATCACCGGTGGGAAGATGCAGATCCCCGGACGAACGAGTGAGTGCTGGGATTGTTGTAATAAGGTTCGCCCGCACCTTCGCGAGATGCTGCACGGGCGCGTCTGGAATTGCCTCAATTGCAGCGAGATGCTTTCTATTCTCTGCAGCTGTACACATCGATGAGCTACATTCTGAGGACGGTAAGAAGGTCACGTGCCCTGGATGATCACAGGAGGACGAACTTAGCTCTCCCGACCGAAGTTCAGTCTTATACTCGCGAAGAAGTTCTCAGGAATCTGCTCTAATCGTGGACTGAAGGTTGTCACACCTCGAAACTATTGACACCGAAGTGGCTCGAAGTACAATAAGAGCCGACACACACGAACGCTGAAGAAATGAAAGAGACGGTTTTAGCAATTAGGAAGCAAAAAGTGGCCACGCAGGAATATGGGAAGGTGGGAAGTGCGCAGATCGGGATCCTGCATTGGAAGACCAGAAGCGTCCAAGGAGTTTTTGCTCTTGTCTTCACGCTTATCGTGTCCATAGTATTTCTAGTGATTGGAGACGATCTCTCACTCGTGGAACAGGTGGGCTTGGTACTACCCCGGTGGAGTCCTCTTACTCACGGAGCTGTCAAGGATCCCAGTGGCGCCGCCGCCGAAAACGGCCGCCTCGCATTACTCGTTCAGGACTACTTCCCTGATCACCAACGCATCACCAGGATTGGAGACGTCGAAATTTCCGAGACGACTCCTCCAGGTCTTCAGTGGGAAGAAGACGACTCATCTCCAGTCGAGGGCAAGGCAAGCGACACTGCCTCTCCCGGCAACCCGAATGTAAGTTCTCGTGACTTCCTATCATGAAATCAGCTGGACCCAGCCGAACTGAAGTGTAATGATCTGAAATGAGCTCTAAGCTTGGTGAGATATTCAACTGATGAATGGTCTCGAATTGTCTTTGACAGGGATCGAACACGACGACGTGGGTTGATTTTCCATATGTGCGTGAGAATGAGACCGAGTTACTTATGGGTGCGTTCAGGTCGAACGGAAGCGAGGAGTGCCACTATGTGCGAACGAAAACCGGGCGCATTGTCGGTCTTCCACCTTTCGAAGAAGGAAAGGACTCGGTTCGTCTGCAGGCAGGGCCGGTGCACGAGTTCCAGATAGTTTCAATAGGGGATGACAATGTACCACGATGTCAAGGGGGAGACTACTATGAAACCGATCTCAGTGGACCCACCTGGAAGTCCCGGCCCCCTATTATGGATCATCAGAATGGAACCTACACGGTCAGAGTGCAAATGGATCCTCGATTCGCCGGAATGTACGAGCTCAAGGTCATTCTTCTTTTCTCAAATTTTCATGGTTTGCATTTCCACCCTCATCGATGGGCCAGAGTCGAGGAAGTCGCGAAGTTCAGAGTCGAATTCACAGTTCCAGAGGATCCTGGCTCTTCCATCCCTCCACTGCCCCTCCCCAAATGCGAAAGGAAAGACTTTGTGGAGAAGAAGTACTGGAGTGGGCGCTGGACTCGAGAGCAGTTCACTCCCGATTGCGATTACAGCAGGTACGGGAGGTGGATTTGCGTGAATGAAACACTCCAGTGTCAGGAACCCTGGTGCGAGGGGACAGTGGGCAGCCTGGAGAGCAATGGGTGGGTCTATTCTGCACATTGTGCCTTCAAGATTTTCAAGGCGGAGGAGGCATGGAAGTGCTTGGACAAAAAGTGGCTATTCTTCTGGGGTGATTCCAATCACATTGACACCATCAGAAATCTGCTTAATTTCGTTTTGGGTTTCAACCACAGCGTGAAGTTTTTGGACCGCAGGATGGATCAAACGTTCTACGCCCCAGGCTCGGACAATCAAACTTCCGTTCGCATCACGAGCATGTTCAATGGCCATTCCAATGTGACCATGAACTACGAAGGGTTGTACTCCATCCACAATAAGCAGTTTGCCGACCAATGTAAGTCATACTTCACAGGGGACTCGGCACCGGACTTCATGTTTATGAACTCGGGTCTACATGACGGAGTATTTTGGAGGGATATGGAGAAGTTCATTACGGACGGAGTGGACTACACAGCTGACTTTTGGACCGACGTTTGGAGCAACATGAAGGCCAGGAGACCCGATCTGCTGTACCGGACCACTGTTACCACAGGAGGTAGTGCGAGGAACCAGTCGTTCAATCCTCAAAAAATGGAGTGGATGAATCATTTAATTCTGGACAAATTTACGCGCTTGAATCTGGAAAGGTTCCAGATCATTGACGGGTTCGACTACACCTACCCTTGGCATTACGACCATCTGACTAATGACGGTGTGCATTATGGTCGGCCTCCTGCCAAGTCAAAATGGGCCGGAGGGAACATGGGCCATCGATACTTTGTAGACATTATGCTTGTACACATGCTCCTCAACGCCATCTGCTGAACCGACCTCCATTTGGTCCATAAACTACTCACCGTGACGGGTGTTCTACATGCCCTGCAAATCCTTTACAGAGAAGCCTTTCTCTACTCTAGACACGTAGCTCAGCAGAAACCCAGGCTTCACCGACAAACGACTCCGCGGGCCGAGTCTCCGCTGAATCAAACTCACCAGTGTCTGCCAGGACTTCTTGTCTACCTTCGATTCTTTCTAGTTCAGACGAGCTTAGCTGCGAACAGTCAGCTAGCAGAGATTATGAAATAGCCTTGCCCTTCCGCGTCACTCTGTAAATATGCTCTCATTGATTCTGCTCAAAATGAAGCACAATCTTATTGTCCTCTGGGGCGGGGGCAATTTAAAATTCATTGCGGTAATTTATATGCCGGAGAAGGTACCGAGTTCTCCTCGCAGAAATGTACACGATGTATCACTGCAATCAATATAAGAATCTCTCATTGTTCCTGTATGAAGGCCTCATTTACGAATCGCTTCATTCGAAGAGTTGTGGCCAATGGAGTATCAGTCAAGACACAGAGACTACGTACTGAAACGACACTAGTAGACTAGACTGCATGTCAGCAGACATCCAGCTAAACTATCATGGTAAGGAAAAGCTGCCACGTCCGCGAAACGACAACGAGGGATGAGGAAACCCGCCTTCTTACATCTGAATAAATGCAAACCACCTACGTTTAGGTACCTACAGGAAGAAATGACCTGTAGCAGCTCCCAGGGCCGAGTAGTGACCAATAGTTCACCAGGTCCAATCATGCCGTCCAAAGAGCAGTTTACATGTACTATAATGCAACGGAGTGGAGAACTGAAAAGGACATACGTCCAATGAAGATTGGTAGTTCTGCTGAGACCAAGCGGGTCGACATTGTCAAGCAGGTCCCCGCAGAACAGATTTATCTCCTAGAAAGTGATGGAGACTTGCGAACAAGGTCGCTTAATTGTCCATGTGTTTCACCGTGGGCAAAGCAAAGACAAACTCCCTTGACTGAGTACCTTGACTCTGCGAGCGGCGAGCAACGAACTCCACGTAGATAGCGAAAAGGAGATCGGGCACGATGAGGAGTGTTCATGTGGGCACCGCCCCCTCTCCCCACCTGGGCTTGCATTGTCTCGAGTCGACGCTGTATGCGAAAGTGAGCGTCGGTAGGAACAGATGAAACACAAACAATCCAGTCAGTCTGAAGCCTCTCCTATCTGCTCTACTTGCACTTTTGGCCGCAAGTTTGCATGAACGTCATTCTTCGTAAGCCAGGTGAAAATTGACTTGGCTCGAAAGAAAAGCATTGCTGTATGGGCCGAAACACTCGGTTGCTGCTGGCGACCCGCAGCGTTGTCGGTATCTACTCGTCGGAATCCAAACCGTATGGTCCACGCCAAAGCCCTTGACTCTACTGTTTGGTGGCTGTTGTATCATTGGGACCCAGATGCGGGCACAGATGTCATACTGCGAATGCAATTTTCTTCACTCTGTGTTCCATTCGATCCTCGATCCGTACACTTTAGGGTAGGACGCTATGCAGTATGCCAGATACAGAAATTTGTTCACTTAAGCATTGGATTTCATGAATCTCCTCGCTCGATCACAGGGGATGCTCCTGTGATCAAATGCTGTAATGTCTGTCAGTTTTAATTTAGATATAAAGTCGCCTGCAAATCGTCCGAGATAGACTTTGAAGTAATATGAAATTGATAGTGTGTTTCAGAAGCAAATAAAGTAGAAGTGTGATGTAACTGGATCCAGTTTGTAAGATAACATAATAGATAGGAAGCAAATATGTACTGTACTATATGAACTGGTTTGGATTGGGTTTTATATGTAACTTATGATCCGCTCAGTGCACCATACAATAGCACTCCTAAATAGAAGATAAAATTTATTCTATTGTAATAATTTTCTGAGAGTAGTATTTATATTATTTTATATGAATTGTTTAATGATTATAAATAATTTCAGTGAATACTATTTAGGTTTAAATTGATGCAGCCTCAGAAATATATGTTGACTTCAAACCTTCAAAGGTCATCTCATTTCATCATTGCACTGTTTGATGTATTGTTTCCTCACATTTATTCATTTTACTTGGCCCTCGTTTCAGTATCACAACCTTATTCATTTGAACCGTGGGCTTCAAAACTGTGCACACGGTGGCCATAACTGATTAGAGTATTTACCATAAATGTACACTTGCTGTCTTGTAAAGTTTATTTCCTCCGACATGTTTTTCCATCCTATACTCAGTTGCCCCAAAATTGCTTACATATTTATAAGAATATCGCCTAAAGTCTAACATAAATGAAATAGGGCAACAGAAGACTTTCGCTTTGACTGGATTCATTGTAATATAAAATGTGAAATTCACATCTATAAAGAAGCTTGTGGTTGATCTTCAGCAGAAAATATGTTACAGCGACTTACATCTCAACATGTAAGTAGTTGTTATCTCTAGAGTTTCAGGTGGCTTTCCTAGGTGCAAACAGATATTACAGTAGTAATAATGACTATGAAGAGAGAACAACAAAAAGTATGCCAAGGTAAATAACAATTTTCCTCTCGAGGAGTTGTAACTACTAATCCTCTTGGTTCTCGGCTACTAAATGAGCTGTGAAGAGGTCAACACCATTGTTGGCATATGAATCTACATGAGCACTCTAATTTTTTAGTGACAGATAGACAAGCCTCATGACTAAAGGTTGACATTTTGAGAAAGTCAGAACGGGTAGGATCAGAGTTCTAATTTTTGCCCATTCAGAAGCCAATTAGAAGTTCCACACAATATAAGTGCAGTGCCGAACTATTTAAAACAGTGATGAAGTCTCGAACTGACATCCTAAAGCTTATGCGACCGATACTTTTACGTCCTTACTGCGGCATTTTTTACCCTTACTTTTATCCGAATGACGAATTTTGAGAAAGTGGGTTTATCCCAATAGCTGCTAATAAGGTCACAATCTTGTTGTTATGAGAAAAAATATTTTAACTAACCATCACGGGACTTACCTTCCTAGATAGGAAAGACACATACTACTTTATCTCTTCCTAGCTGCAGTGCCACTATGAACAAGGCTTTGTTTGCTACCATTTGGAATCTATGTTATAGTTGCACTACTTAATTCTTACTCCTTTAGTTCAACTCGAAGGAATATTTTAACATTCACAAGATGTTATTATATGTGAATGGATACACTATCTTTATGATTTTCCATGTTTAAAATCATAAAAAGTACTATACATCTCTCTAGAAGATTGCATTAACTTAGATTTTGATGCTAATCCATTACTTTTATATATATATATATATATATATATATATATATATATATATCCCCACCATATTTTCCACTTTCCAAACAAGCCTTATGTATTATGACCTACATAATTAATATGGATAAGAGCTTGTGGTAACACTCAAACTCACATGCACAAAATACTTTTTGTTAGTATTAACTTTAGTGTGAGATTAATTCTAGTTAGCATAACCCTCATTAGGATTAGTTTCAAAGTTTCTACTATATACCATATAATAGTGTGAGACATAGCTCCTGATTAAAAATGTATAGTTTTTTCACTAAAACCTTTTAGTTTCCTTGAATGTAGTCCAGCATTAACATACCACATATATTTCTTATCAACGTCATGCTTGTAAACTTTTTTGTTTGTGGATTTCTTGATTATTATTTCAACAATTGTATGAGCGAGAGGCTTTCAAGTTGTGGATCATCTGATGCTAATTGTTGCAGAAAACTCATAAAATGCAACAAGAAAGACAAAAATTCCATCACACCAGAGTACAAAGAATATGTGGTTCATACAAAGTGCTACGTCCACGGAAACTAACTTGTAATATTTGTTCGTTCAAAAACTATATATAGCTGGCAGTTAATCCCTAGGGCTAACATTAACTAGCAATTGATTTGAGTTAGTACGAAACAAGAATTAACCCTAACAAACTTCTCCCTTAACTCATGTTGAGAGAAAATTGACTTCTTTAACCTATATAATTACTTGGCGAAAAGTACTCGAATGAAATCTAACAAAAGATTTCTCTTCAAACGTGAGTTAGTTAAAACTAATTCGTTTTAGAAACATGATAGAGTGAAAAAGTAAAGAGGTTTTTGAATTGCTACTAAACTCTACGTGTGCTCCTCATGCAAAACTTGCATAGAAACACAATAAACCTTTTCAAAGGAATAACGTTTCATAGCTCGATTGAAGTTTTTGTCAATCTTGACTAGTTCAATACTTTAATCAAACAATGTATGTTATATAATTGATATCAATGTGCTTCATTGTATTATCTTTCACTTGATTTGGAATAAATTGTAAAGCACTCTAACTATCACAATGAAGTTTGACAACCCTTGTTTTAATTTCATCTCAATGATAAACTTATACACCCAAACAGCTTCCGTTGATGCTTTTGCTGCCGCTATATACTCATCTTCGTTGTAGACAAAGCTACACATTTCTTTAAGATACATCTCTAATTAATGCATCCACCATCAAATATAAACATATAACTAGTTGTAGATCTTCTTTAATCAGATCTTGTCCATAGTCAACGTAGCCTACTAAGAATTTGGCATGTTCTAATAAGCCATCAAACAATAATTCATAATCATTAATACCTGAAAATACATTTCACCGCTTCTTAGTTAATCTTTCTTGTATTTGACATGTTTAAGAATATTTTTTGTTTTTGGAGGGTAAAAAAACAGTTGTCATTGTGAGCCTAAACTCCCCACCCTTCAGCGTTTGTAGTTCAGGTGGAGGTTTGAGCTCCCATAATCTAACTTCTCTGATCTCAAACCATGTGGTCAAAGTGTATTCAAGACAATGAGATCATAAATACTCGTTTTGCCATGGACAAATTGTCCCAAACTGTCACTAACAACTTGATGTCTGCTATTTTCACAAGAGCAGCAGACAAGCTCTTCGTCACATAAAGATCTAACCCAACTATGGGTGACTTTCTCAATACTACAGCCGCTGTGGCTTATCCTAGAATGAGTGCCACATCTTAGACACACTGCCTCAGACACAGTCAGGTGACACACCAGCAGCACAAGGTAACACCCTTCATAACAGCAACCTTCACACCCAGGGAACACGATTCTACTCTCAACACTTGCTCGATTCTTCCTCCTAGTGATCACTCAGTCTCAGCCCAGCGATCCGCTTGGCCGTCACACACACTCTTCCGCTCAGCCCTCCGGCTACACTCTCAGCAACTCCACGCTTTCAACACCCTTGCCCTCAGGAATCTCACCCTACTATCAGATTCCACCCACAATTCTGAGTATCAGATTTCAGTCTCACACCCTTAGTTCCCACCTTCGATTTCAGTCCCACTCCCAATTCCTACTCAGATTTCAGTGTCGATTTCTCAATTTCCACCTTCAGGTCCCACCAGATTTCTCTCTCGGATTTAACTCTCACTTTTCAGTTTCAAATTCAGATCCCGACTGTCAGATTTCAGTCTCAGATCTCACTTCACTCGCCGCTCCCATTCTCAAATCTTCCACTCTGATTTCAGCTCCCACTCACAGATTTTACACTTCAATCTCAGCTCCCACTTTAATTTCACTCTCCGATACGACTCTCCACCCACGAGAGTTTGCTTCCTCCTACATCGAACTCTCCACACTCCCCTCCTAATTCTCACCCCTCCCCTGCGAAAATCACTCACGTCCACACTCTATTCCTCCTACCGATCCCACCAGCGTCTCCACACAATGGCACACCACACGATCTCTATCCCTAGTCCAAAAATTCCTCTCCAACGTCCAAGGGCTAAGTCACCCACAGCCCGCGTGAATGCCGTTCCCGCGATGATGGACAACGGCCTGGTTCCCATGTGCGACTTCATGCCCCGCCGTCCTATTACCCACGCTTGACTTCACGCCGCCGCCACTGCCACACCTGTACAGTCTTTATTCATGACCACGTCAACATCCGCCGTCCGAAATCTTCTTCCGCGCACCGCCGAAGGCATCCCCCGCCGAAGACACTCTTCCGCACCTTTGCATATCTATAACAGTCACCTCCGACGCTCATAACTCACAGATCCCTGCTTCGTTTGAAACGTTCTTGGGCTCGTTGGAACGAGCGTGTTGAGCTCTTTCCAACGAGCCCCTAACTAAGTCAAACCGATAAGAATTGAGAAAGAAACCACTGAAGGCGTTTACCTATGCGTAGGCCGCCTATTCACAACCCGCCTACTTGCAACTCCTTGGGCCGAAGGCCTCTCTATCTGTTATCGCCGAAGGCCCCTCTATATGTTAACGCCGAAATACTCTCTATATGTTAACGCCGAAGGCCTCTCTCCTAACCATGACAGCCGCTTTTGACGCTCATAACTCAATGACACCTTATCCGTTTCAAGGATTCTTGGTCTCGTTGGAACGAGCGTCGCGAGATCTTTCCAACAAGACCCTAACTGAGTCAAGGCGTTACAAATTGAGAAATTTATGACGGTTTTACTTCTCCGACGGAGTCCTTGCCCCGAAGACCTGCTACCGCCGAAGACGTACGTCGCCGAAGACGTCCGTCGCCGCACTCGCCTAAACCCTTACCATCAGTAACCTCCGATATTTATAACTCTGTGATGCCTTATCCGTTTCAAGAGTTCTTGGTCTCGTTGGAACGAGCGTCGCGAGCTCTTTTCAACAAGACCCTAACTGAGTCAAGGCGTCACACATTGAAAACGTTATGAGGGTTTCCTGTTTCGCCTAAGGCCTTTCCCCGAAGGCACTTCACCGAAGGCAC